GATGAAACGACGATGGTTCAAGGCTTTGCTTGTACAAGATACAACAGAAAAATATAATAGTCTTGCAACTTTTTCGGGAATGTCTATCATTGTTACATATACATGAAGATAAAAAAAACTGAGGGGATAGAGCTATGTAGTATGAAGACTATGTCAGCGATTCATCGAAAAATGCTGATGTTGCCGTAGTTCCTGGTGTTGCTGTTGACGTGACTGTGGTCCGATTACGCAGAATGTGAAATATGTTCGTAAAACTATTTGGAACAACTCGTCCGAGTCGATAATTCAACAAAACACAAGTAATCATAGCAGCACAAAGAAATAGTGCAATGCCCAGAATAATTGATGTTACAAATGTAGTTGCTTTCCAAGGACTAGAATTGACATTCGTCGATGTTGTTGTTGAATCAGCTTGTTCGCTCGGAGATGTCGAAGTGGTGAGCTTTCTTGTTGTAGTCGTTGATGTCGAATGTTTTGTCGATGTCCGTTTCGTTGTTGTGGCGATAGTGGTGGTAGTGGTAGTGCTTGTGGTGGTTCGATTTGGCCATTGAGCAAATGACACCAAACGAATCGTTTTTAGCTGTTCATCAAGCCAAAAAAGATTTCGTACTTCGTACGTTTCTAAGGAAACAAGTCGCACATGACCACTGGTTGTTAACCATATCAAATTATTCTCGTAGATGAACATTGAATGAATATCAGCTACGGTGCTGGTATTCAACGGTAAAACATCTTTGCTGAGAACGATTCCATTTGGTAATAAAGTTAGCATATAGATTTGTTGTTCTACACGATCAGCGGCAAACAAACGATTGTCCGTCATGGCTAATGATATGATTTCTGAGTAACCGCTGGCAATAAATAGGCAAGACTGAAATGATACAAGACGGAAACGGCGATCAGCCTTACAATAGAGAATAACTGATTGTTGACTGGCAATTGAAATACTTAGGTAAACATCGATATCATCAGCACTCAGGGTATCATTGAAAATCATATCAAGAATAGGAGTTGTCGAATTCCAAACACCTTTTCGAGACATTTCATCGAAATTCAATCGGATTACTCCACGGCGTACTGCCCAAAATAGTGCCGTTTCACCGGAGAGATATGTAAGACTCGATCGACATGGTGTCTCATCGATCGGTATCAATGGTACAACATGTGATCCTAAATGTGTATCAAGTGTGTAGATTGTACTTGGCGAACAGATATAGAGTCGATGAATGAAATGATTGGCTGCTAAACTTTGTAATGAATAAATCGGATCTGTATGATGATAAACAAGTTGAAGGTTATCATTTGTGTAATTAAATTCTCTGATTTGTGCTAGATAAAGATTTGATTCGGCTAAAATCCCGATCGCTGGGTTCGTAATACGACAGTCGATAATTTGGGAAAGAAGTATTAGAAAAATACAGAAAGTTTCGTGATACAATACATTCATCATCTCGTGTTTTCATCAGGTGTTCTTCATTCGAAGTTTCATTTGTTATCTTATTTGATAGAGAATGGGTAACTGACGTCATCATGACTAAGGCAAAGAAAGGAACAAGGTAAGTTTATTTTTCTTTATCAGTTCAGTACGACTTCCATTCAAAAGTCAAATCATCAACTAACGACAATGATATGCATTGCGCAAAAGATCGAAATGAAAGTTTCATCCGTCGCGTCTGTTCATTAATATACAGTTATACATATATATGTATTTATATATATATATATACGCGTGTATAAACTCATCTAAATAAACAAAACATTTATACAGCCTGTCTGCCTCATTTACTTAGTACATAGTCGCATCCGTTTTTTCCTCTCATCATCAATTGTTTAATTTCCTTTGAAGCTTTACTTTAGGATCAGTGTAAAAAACGGAGAAGAATAAAATGAAACAGACCATCAATAAAACACACAGCACGAAAAGGTCGACTACGCGAGCAGAGAGTTTCTATCTTTCATCTGAGATTTCGTTTTTCTCTCAACTATGAATGGAAATGATGACAACCTCCAACCAGTTAAATATTTAGGCAAAGTTCGTTCACTATACGCTCATGGCATCGGCGTGGCCATTGTAAGTCTTATATTTCTTTCAGTAATTGATTCATTTTCCGAGATAAATATTTGATTGCAAAGGAACCTGTACGCCTTGTCTGGGCTCGATCAAAAAAAGGTTCACGTTATAATCGTTGTGCCGTATCCATACATCCATTTGGTTTATCAATCTACGAAGAAATAACAAATGGAACATATAAAAATGTTTGGTCCGATAGTATTGAAGATATTTCTTATTGTGTTGCTGAACCTTTACATCGCCGCATATTCGCTTGGATTGCTCGATCACCTCGTACGAATGAACTGGAGTGCCATGTTATACTCTGTAAAACAAGTAAACGTGCACGTACACTTGCTGAACTATTAGCGAAATCATTTCATGAATCGTATCGTTATCGACAAGAGCAACAACAACAACAACAACAACAACAGCGAGCTATTGACACAGCATCATTGTCGGCGCGTTGTTCAGTATGTGATACGATCGCTCGGCAAGAGCAAACTGTCAATACGCGTCCATCTTTGTATCGAAGTCATTCACATGATCGCAATTATCATGACGAACTCGAACACACCCGTTATCCAATGCGAAATGATTATGAGCGCGTTTCATTTCATACACCGAACATTGCACGCGCTTTTGTGCGAAGCTACGAAGGAAATTCAATGGATAGTAGTAGTCGTCGAAGTATTGACAATGATACAACATTAGCGGATGAAGAATCGATCAAACCAGTCGAATACTATCGCAGATAGAAACTGATCACCTGGCTATTTGAACGTTGTATTACAAACAAGGACGGAATTCCATCGAGATAATCGAACCATGTGAAGTTCAATGAAATGACATTTTTATGTTTGTTTTTTGCTTATGAACAAAGATAATTGCACACTGCTCTGTAATTTATGTTGAAAATATGACAACGCACCTTGTCAACAAGGTGATCTATCATTTCGGAATGCTTTATAATGGACATTAAATACAAGGTTGTCTGATTGGTTTGAACTAGAAATAATGACGATGATGAAGAAAGTGAGGGACGACTCGTTTTCTAGTTATCCTATACAGAATATAAAAGACCTACTCGACAAACTTATCCATTCTTTATTAAATAAATTTAGCGAAAAAACACAAGTTCTACTTAACAATCTTCGTTCATCTCGTCGGTTTTTCCTAAGACACACGTGTAGAGGATTTCAAGACAACAAAGACCGATGCTGTACATTCAAGTTTTACACCGATGAGACGGTACTTCGACCAATGTTCGCACAAGTTGATTTTGAAAAACGAATCTTTTCACACGATGAAATATGTAAATGAATGGTAAAAGAAACGAAAGATATTGTATCCAACCCCATTTGAATTCTTGCCAAAAGCCAGGTATAAATCTAATCGATTGCGTTCGAATGTTAACAGTAACATCAATCGTTATTCTTCCAGTTCCACTGCTTGTCCGATCTTCCCAATTGGTCAGATACGGTTGAAATGTTGTATAATAGTTTCTAGTAAAGTAATTATCGGTGATGGAATTTACGTCCATGGACGATGTGGCTAATATATTATCTAAATCGATAACTGAATCATTGTACTGGGCATCAACACCTGAACTTTGGAATGGGACGCGTTGATCAAGTGTTAATTCACCAACTGCAGTTACTCTCGCGTTATTAATGGTACCTGGAGAGTAGAGGTTAATCAATCCCAGTGTTTCCATCTGAATCAATTGTCTTCCTCGTAGTTCATATTGAAGTATTAGTAACAAATTGATATAACGAATTTGAATATTACTGTTTTGAAAAGGGAGTTCAAGGCTGAGAGAAAATCTGTTGTCGTTTTCGGTTGCAATTGCCGTTGTTCCAGGAATCGAAATCGATTGAAAAATCGTATTCAACGATGCGTAAGACGAAGCGAAGTATGGGTTTGTTGCTGCGACCTGTCCGAGATTAAGAACGAAATTCGTATAGCTCACACGTGGTTTTTCGCTGTAACTAGCTTCTTTAATCCAGAATCCTTCGGCATAGTAAGTAAATAGAAATGGCGGTAGAAAGGTTAAAATTGTACAAAGAACCAGAAAACAGGTCGCCAATGAACATAATTTCGCTCGGTAATGAAATCGATCCGAATGAGAAAAAACCTCGAAGAGAGCCATGGATTTCAAACGCGAATGAGTCGAATACGATCAGAAATCTTTAGCCGCCATGAACCGATACGATTACTTAGGAGAAGCCTCTATGATAATTTCCATCGAATATGATTGGCTGTTATTTGACAGATAAGAAAAGAACTTTCTGCTGTTATAGATATAATATTGATTGGTTAATGAAGAGAAATGCTTCTGACGTCCATGAAGTACAAAAAACAGGTTTTCTTCGTATATGAGTTGTTATGAAATCCCGTGTTTGCTTTGAAGACGCACGGGCTAGTTGTGCGTGTTACGTAATACGCGTTCATGATTACTCGATTGATTCGGTTGCGGTTGACGGGTACATTTATTTTATTGGCTCGATTGATAGCACGATAAAATGCATCGCGAGTTATCGAAGAGTTGTGATCTAGTTTCTTTTTTTCTCGGTATACATTTTGCAAATGAGTCAGAAAGTTTGATGTCTTGAAGAAGGAAGAAAAACGAATTTGGCGGGGGTGTGTCCCTCGTATATATAAACGATGAGTAGGTGATGTTAATGTCAGCGCGTCATTGACGTTAGAAAGACGATCGAAGAAACCATGTATAGTATGTTATTGATCTCGACATCGTACGTTTCGACTGTTGAGGATTGCTTCTCAACGGAAGATATTCCGATATTCTTCGATTTTTTTCTTTTAGTCACTAAGATTAGACCAATTGATTTGCATTGGCCACACTGATATTCAATCACATTTTAGATAAAGTTCTTTCTTTATTTACGTATATGTACACTTGTGTTTAGTGGAATTATCATTGAATTCCATGGTCCGAATGAACGAATGTGAATATAATCGCCAATCACTTATCCAACTATCGCCATTCTCCCACCAAGTAACCTTTGCGACGATATTTCACATTAATTTATCATGCCTGTTCTGTTTTCAAGGTTGGCGGTCATTCGACGATGTTTCAGTATGATAAAAATACTCTGTGCAAAGTCCTAGATCCACCGGAATTGTATTTTTATCAATCAATGCCTGAGTCGTTAAAAAAATTCACGCCGGAGTTTCGCGGTAGGATGCACATGTTCTTTTCTATGTATCCGATAATTTTACGATAATCTTCAGGTAAGATAACAGTACAATATTGGGAAGATGAACTAGGCTATGTGAAGCTTGTTGCTCGACCAGAAACAAGCAGCTCCGACGATGAACATTCATCAAATGAAGATCATGCTCCAGTTACTACTACTGATCAGCAGTCGGTTGATAATAATACACGCAAATTAGTACAGTTCGTATTCATTGTGAATCATTCTTGATTTGAAAATATATTCTCCGAATAGATTACGCTGCTCCGAAGATGGTCATATCGACTATTCGAACAGTTTAGGCAATGATGTTGTTAATTATGAACAAGGAAAGATTACAATGGCTAAGATCAATCCTTGGAGTTTGGAATTATGTAAGAAACAAGCGGAAAAGCTGCACCAAGAATTAATCGATGCAGAATACGTCGCTGTTTCACAAAGTAAATATTAAAGTGGCACGTATTTTATTTTCCGGATACGATTACGCATTTCTTTTGCAGAATATATTCTGTTAGAAAATGTCACCGCTCGCTTTCGCCATCCGTCTATCCTTGATTTGAAAATGGGCAAACGACAGTATGCTGATATTGATTCAGATGAAAAACGGCAATCAAAAATTCAGAAATGTGAACTATCAACGTCATCTACACTTGGCGTACGATTATGTGGAATGCAGGTAAGACTGACGAAGTTGTGTTTTCTTTTTCGCAATCAGTTTTTTGTCTTCAGGTTTACCAGGTTGACAGCGGTCGATACATCTTTACCGACAAATATCGAGGTCGACTGTTATCGGTTGAAGGTTTCCGCTCTGCTCTAGTAGAATTTTTCGATAATGGACGAACGAAACGTCTCGATGTTCTGCCTGAAATCATCGATCGTCTCAGAACATTATACGAAACAATCAATTCACTAGCCCGATACCGCTTTTACAGTGGTAGCCTGCTTATCGTCTACGATAGTTCCCTTCAATCAGATCTGATCGATGTACGTATGATTGATTTCGCTCATTCGATACATGCTTCAACAACCGATGAAACATCGGCATCAAACATTCATATGGGCCCAGATAAAGGTTATTTATGTGGACTCGAACATTTGATTAATATTTTCAAAGAAATTTTCAACGAAGGAAATGCTTCCGCGCCAGCAAATATTAATTAGTACAGAAAAAAACCAAACCGTTTCATTCTTTTCTTATGTGCAATAGTTACAATTATTGTCTCATGTATATATGTGTTATTTTTTTGTCTCTTTTTCTTGTCAACCCGGTTTCTTATCTGGACTTTGTTTATTTGTCTTTCGAAAGTAATATGAAAGACAACACAAAAAGTTACTTCTTTCTTGACTTTTAGCATGACTTTTTAGAAAATAAAACGTTGGAAATACAAATCTACATCCTTATCCCCGGTTTTTTTTTGTCACTTTCTCAGGTGTATACACCATCTTCTCGTATATATATATATATGTCCGTTTGTTTTCTCTTCGTGTACATAGATTCAGGTGGCTTTTCTTGCTATGACTTTTTCTCTTTCTTTTCGACTGCAGTAATCTACAGAATGATGTATATCATGTTTACGTATTCGATTCCTTTTCTTTTTTTTTGTTTTTATCTAAATAAAACTTCTTCAATTCTGACACATTCTCTGTTTATTTTATCAGAAATCAACTCCCCCCTTCGTACAACGCAAGTAATCTGGATGATTTGCCATGTCTTCACACCTCCTCATCCGCCTACAACAGTCCGGTGAAATTACACATATCTTCAAACTAATCACCCGAGGTTATCAGTTCGTTTTTATGTCGGTCGTATGTAAGACGTCATTCCGATCTGGGGATGACAGACCTCGTTTAGGCTTGATTAATAGTTAATAGATACCTAAGAACGCGCGCCTCTGATGGAATAAACCCTATAGTAGTCACACGGCAGGCTTAGAACTGCGCAATCGATGCGCGTGTGTTGTTTTCCGATTCCTCAACATCAAAGGATGAGATTTTTCGTCGTTAGAATGTAACAATAGAATCAATGAGTTAGTCATGTATTGAGTATATTCATTCATTTGTTCACATTAAGAATAGATTTTGAATACACAGGTATTACATTGAATGAACGCGAACAATAATAATAGAAAAGCAAAGAGAAGAAGAAGAGAAAAAGTTAATAACAAGATCGTCATTTTTTTCGTGTGTCGTGCTTTTGCAGATAAAAGAAAGTTAGTACTACCGATCTAGTCCTAGAGTGAGCCATGGATGATGTATTTATATACATAAAATAGAAATTAAATACTTGTCGTTGTCGACGATTGCGTTTGTTGTTTGCTTTTCAACACATGAGATCTTCGTTCGTTACGCGGCGAACATTTGCATACTAGCTGATTGTCTTCGACATTGTCACAGATCTAAAATTCATTCGAACGATGAGAATCAACTCGAATAGATAGTTCAGATCTTACTTTCTTAAGCCTCACAGTCGGTGGACTGCAGTAGTATTGCTTCCGACTTGACGTTCTCGATGTTGGCGATGCACTATCTTTATTCAAAGTACCTGTACGATATTTCAAGAAATTATTTTGCTGTAATTTATTATGTTTACCAATGACGTAGAGCAGTTGCGTGCGAAATTCTGTACCCGTTAAACAATAAACAAGGATATTACCTGTATGATTAGCATTCATCAAGATAATAAAACATAATTTAATCATCTTATATTTGGCTTTGGCTCGCACATCACATTGGTACGAACCCGATGAGAACGTTTGTTTTTCAAACATAAGATAAATCACAATTGGACCAGTTAACAAAACAAACATGGTATTGATAGAGAGAAGCATCGTACTTAGACTCCTGGCGACGAGACGTTTGTTGGAGTTGTTTGCATTACCCATCGTTCGAAGAACGCTGATGAATATAATTGCTGAACAGAGAAACATTAAAATAAACGGCAGATAAACATTAACGATAGCATCGATATAAACCCAAATATTTATATAGAATTCTTTGTATTGATCACTATTTTCTGATGAACAGTGAACGATATTTATGTCCATATCGGTATCAACAATCGGATAGAACGAAGACGTTGACGGAGAGTCGGCAATGCTTTGCGCGTTTTTATATGTGTTATTATAGAATAAGAATTGCACATTGAGCAAAAACAGAATGAGAAAAATGACAAGTAATATAAAATAAGTTAAGCGGATATTTCGTGTCTTGCGTATCCCACGTGTTAGAGCGCAGACGCGATCGATGGATACCGCCGTCAGTATCCATGCGCTCGCTTGTGGAAAGAAATAGATCGAAAATGAGAAGATTTTACATGCAATCAACGAGACTTGCTGGAGATCGATATTGAACCATGCATGTAAGATGAAATTAACACAAAATGTATATAAAACAATCAGATCAACAATAGATAGAAAGGCGAGATAAATAAACGTCGAATGACGTCGAAGTTTTGAACGCAGAACTACATACACGGAAAGTAAATTGCCCACTGTACCAACAAAGATGAATAAAATCGGATAAATACGTAGTAAGGTTAATGTTATGGTACGATAAGGTTCTCGACTGGTTGACGAACGCGTTAGTGAAGTATTGCATCCTACTGGTGTGGAATTCCACATCGTTATATACGACGAAAACAAAAGAGAAATATCTACAATTGCAAGAAAATGACGAGATGATGCGTGAGCGTTGCGCGAAATCGCAGGCTAAAATAAGATGACGTGCGTGTGCATGAATTTTTGTATTTGTTATCTTTAGAAGAAAAAAACAATGAAGACAAAGGAAAGACACAATGTATGGAAAAATGAGGCATGCCTTGAATAGAGTGACTATGCAAGAGAAAGAAAATCTTTTCGTCTTCGGATTTCATCCGGTTTCTCTTCCGCAAACAAGAATGCTTCCATATAGAGAGAACAAATCCTTTGTTAAATTAACTGATAGATAAACAAATGAATTTTTCTCTCGAATAAAATTAAAAAGTACCGTTTAGCAGAACATTAGTTTCACTCGTCCTTCTCTTATGGTGTTTAATCTCGCTGAAACGTGCAGAACACTGCTAACTGATCTTTGTCTTCTGTCGAGCTAGATGATGCACGTCGAAAAAGGTGAATAGAAGCAGATGCTCGTTGAGATATCTCTTAATCTTTGAATATTCATTACATTAATGTTCTAAGCTGATTAACGAAACACTATCGGTTGCTGGCGTCTTGACGAATGTCAGTTTAGAACTCGAAGGCACAAATCGTACAAAAATAGATATACATTGTCAACAAGCACGTATGCGATGAGCTTTTCAGTGAAAACGAGAACTAGCGCTAGGTACTTCTACTAATCATGTATAAGATTCATTATGTATACTTACTCGCGAATGTAAGAAATATAAATAGAACATCAATACAAGCCCTTAAGTATTTTTTCCTTGTTCGTCTGCTGCTTTAAAAGTGAACTCTATTTTTATCTAGACGAAATCATTCATACAATCAATAAATGAGAAATGTGCGTGACTTCTGAGTTAAATCTTTCTTTTTCAGATTGAAACTAAAATCATAATGACAAGTAACAGCTCACCAGTCCTCTACGCAATTCAATATTCAGAATTTGATATAAAGAAAGGTGCTTGTGTTTATTATGAAGTATGTTGATAAGAAAACCAGTGACTAAAATGCGAAGAAGAACTTGTGTTTGGTGATTATCTATTCTAGACAATGAAGACAAATTTTAGCGAAGATCAAAAATTTCACTGGATACGAAATTTCGTCTGTCCAGAACCAAATTTACAAAATAAACTCATCGTTTTGTATGTTCAACTCGTTTTCTGTATTTCTTTATCTGAAATCTTCCTATACTCACTTCCTATGCGAATACGGATGGTCCTTAGATGTCCTCTATTATTGATTGTATACTTTAGGTCAATCGAAAATCAAAAACTGCTTGGCTGCCCGGTCATCATCTCCGATGGTGAAAAATATAAAAACAATCGTAATGAATTTCGTTTCAATGCTTGTTTCATCATTCCATCACAAGCTGATGCACTCAAATATGAAGTTGCTGTGAGAAAGCTAGCGAAATATCTTCGTACACTAGAAGTAGGAGAAACAAGACCTTAATTTTCTTATTGTCATCTTAAGCCGAAATGTGTTTCAGGTCGACTCATGTTTCTTAACGGATGAAAGTCTCAAAAAGCAGTTTCTCAAGCCAGCACTCGATGAAATCGTGCGACAAATCAATGAGAATGGCGAACAGTGTTCTGTGAAAATGTGTAAGTTTAGATCTCTCGTACGACCAAAGAAGAACCGAAGTTCATCTTCCACGCTTTTGTCAATTGCTTTTCCTGGATGAAAGAAGAGAGAGGAAATGAATCTTGAAGATGACAACTACGAAATCTGCTTGTCGTCTAGTTGATTAATTAAAATATACCTACAGTGTTCATGTTAATCCTCTCATTGCCTGATGTGTCGAGCAGGATGTGTAGGTTTATTTTCTTTCTCTTTTTAGATTCGTCTGTGTTTGTTAATTTAAAACTACTTGAACAACGAGCGGAACCTCCACCTGTAGCTTCGTCGGATGTGCCCATGTTTTGTAATAATATCGATTTAAGTGATCTTGAGCAAATGGACCCGATGACACAACGAGTAAAAATTAGCCAGTCTAAAATAAACATGTGAAGATCTGTTTGATTTTTGTCCTTCGACAAAAGGTTATCGCTAGTATTGATGGCCTACGACATGTAAATAAAATATCCCAGGACACAGATACAGAACTGGCTTTAGTCAAAGCAGCAATGCAGAATTTAATGTAATTTGCTTTCGATTATTGCACAACATTCTTCAAAGCTTTTTGTTTCTAGTTATCATAATGTGATTCGACTTGTTCCAATATTTTCCTATAAGAATCGTTATATCGTCACGCCGAAGATTCAAGAGCTCTATGCGGATGTCAATCTGCAGAAAGAATTAGTTTTCTTCGTTGTTCGAAATGGTAAAGAGCATTTCATCTTCGATGGAACATTGCCAAGAAAAACTACGATTCGTTTCAGGCGCGAAAGATTGTGTTTCGTTCTACGAATGTTTTCGTATGATCTGCGCATTTGATCATGGTTCACTTGTAAAAGATGTGGTGAACAAGATGAAAGCAAATAATATCGATGAAAAGTAATCGTTGTCGTTTTTTTTTCTCTCTGTATTAAATCGTTGCTTTCTCTTTGCTAGAAAACTAGTGCAATATTGTGCACTGAAAGGTTATTTACGTCGGGTACGAGACTATCGTATATCATTGGATGAATCGATCTACATGAATAACAATACGGAAACTTCGAACGGAAATGCAGAAGAAGTCGAAGCTGCGAAGTCGAAACTTAAGAAAACACTTCGTGATCTATGTGACGGAACGAACGACAGTGACAGTTTAGCTTGTCAAGGCTACAGTAAGTCAACATGACATCTATTTTTATTCGAAGGAACTGGTTGATTCATTAATTGAATGCTTGTAGTCTTCAATCCACGTTCGATTCCAACAGCACGAAAACCGACTCAACAACCAACAGCTCCAATGGATTCTTATTTAACTCTTTGGAAATAGTGTTTCGTCTGATTGAAAACATCTTCTTTTTCTTTTCTTGAAGTATTATCGAATAAAAATTATGCGCTAGCTAGAAATCGATGTTATAATCGAGTCGGTAAGCGAATAGATTTGGCCATGAGAATGGAAATCTATCAAACATGACTTACTCTACAGAAGAAATTTCAATGGTTACGTTGTTTCCATGTTGTTTGTTGACAACTAGCAAGAAAATCAATTTAACGAAGTTGTGCATGGTAATTTGTTCGTCTGGGTGGAATGCTTTTTTGCACAAATGATTATTGTGTGTGCAATTCGGATGATTTGGATGAGAGTACACTTGGTTTATATACATATTATCGACGGAAGAATTAGCGATGCATACACAGTTGATAATCAATGTTTTGTCAATATTTTATGTATTGATAGAAGATGTCGGAATAGAGAATCAATCATAATCGAGATCGGCAAAGATGTAAAACCTAAGAAAATTATGCCTTTTAGTTTGGAACTTACTCGGCACACAAATTGTAGTCGGTGGATGGATAGATCGATGGAAGATATGTACGATGTAGTTGTTGAAGAAACCTCTTATCAATCTATGACAAATACTAATAGCATACGTGTCAATGCCAATCTTGAATGTCTATGCGTCAATAATATCACATATTCCATTATGTATGAATCATGTCCATGTCGGTTAATCAATCATGTTCAATTGCGTTCGAGTGCGATAGATATTGTTGATCCAGTGTCATTTCCATACCATTCTAGAGAATTCAAGTGGAACTAAATCAAATGCGGATTGTGCAAGTGATCTATTATTCCGAGGTGTATCGAGATAATGCACTGATGTTTGCGAAGAGCACTTCACAACTTGTTGTTAACTAAAACGTGACAAGTTCGGGAATACACAGACGATGTCGGCTGAACTAATAACAAAAGAGCATGCCGACATGCATAAGAAAAAAAAGTAATCTTCAGTCGATAATCATTGCCGAACGACCTCGTGGATCATGAGTTATCTACGCGTACAGCCTCTTGCATAAGTCGTGCTATATACATCTCTTCAATAGATAAATAAATAACTAAAATTGAATAATGCAAAGAACATCAGTAAGTAGTAAAGGTCTATTGTAGATATTAATGAAAGCTTATTGGATCTTAAGTGAACTCATACATACTGAATAAGATATTAAAAACGTTTTGTCGTCTGTTTTCAAAGATGCTGAAAGTGATGAAACAGTGTTCTTTATCACAATGAGTTCAAACTAAAACTCCCTCTCTCACACACACGCTAGCAAATATTATAAGATGTCATATCCGATATATCGAACTGAAATATTTGAGTCGCGAGTAAATGTGCCCTCTCGTTCGTAAGTATCTATAGAGAAAAGGAAAGGTTTTCAGAGTAAACGCCGACGATCACGACGTCAACGGCAATCGATGGCACTTGATTTCTACAAATGATTGAAATTGAAACTGATCATTGTGCAGATTTTCCACGTCTCTGTTGTCGATCAAATACTTCCGAGTTAGCTGAAAACTGAAGTGAACTCGGTCACTTATACTTTGTCTATACAAAACTATTCCATCTAATTACAGCCGGAAAAGAAACTAGCAAAATAAACCAGCACCTCACCACCTGAATTCATCATTTCATTTCTAAATTTTCCATATGTCAACACGAGTCAGGTGATACACATACTTAATTCATCACGTTGAAGAAAAATCATCAATAAGTCATATTCTGCGGGCTTTCTTTCTTTCATAGAAAACATCCCACACACTGAAATATGCGTTCAAATGAAGATTTCCTACCTGTTACATAAATGATTGGATCACTCGACGAATTCAATACAATAATCAAGACGAATATTAATGTCTCTCCCACTTACATCGTTCTAAGCATAACTAAGCATATCATATTCTAGGAATTGACCAATGAAATTAGATGCTAAAGTATTTTGTCGGGCATAAACGATGAAGAAATGAAAAAAATTCATTGATTTCGATATTCAAACGCGCAGTCGCTTCGCTGAAAGAATTTGACAATACGAAGAAAAACAATTAATTTTTTTTGAGAAAAGATAAATAATGATTTTCTCTCTCTAGAGAACAAAGAAAAAGAATATGGTTGTTATCTACTTCATTCTGTTCGATTTCTATTCGTAAGCAGTCTTCTCTCCAATGAATTATCAGTTCTTTCTACTGGTAAAGGTTAACCGTGACAGCTGTTGTTTTCTGAGAAAACATCTTGAAATTAGTTTTCATTTTGTCTCAGACACGAAACAATTTCTCACCTATCTCTTTATGAACGACTATGTCCTCAGTCAATTAACATTCGATCCAAATCATATCGAGCGCAATTTTCTCGCTTTCTTTTTTATTCGAATACGTCGTCGATTAAGAATTCCTCGCTGAAAAATATTGTTCAGATTCAGATGATGTAATTAGATTTTTATTAAAGGTAAACGTAGTCACAAAAAGTTGTTTTAATGTACGTTTGATTGTCTACGATACAATACTGATCGAATCGCCCGGAGAATAGAGAACAATGGCAATTTTCCAAGGAAAAGGACATTTTTCATATGTAACACGCTCGAATGTATATTGATTTGTCCGATGATTTTCTAATTCAATTTCGTTATTTGTACAATTGATCGTTAAGGTCATTTCGTCACCCGCCTGAATGCTCGTATCTTCGGTAGGCTTCTCACGGTCCCAGGGAATCTTCCACCAGCCATAGGCAAATGGTGTTTTACGATTCCAGGGATTGGCATCTTCGAGAGTGGACACGATACCGAAGAATGGATTCTGTTTACCCATTTGATTGATGTGAAAACGGATTTTATGGATGCCGGATACGTAGAGAGTGTTACAGCAAATTGTCGAACCATTCCAATGACTTCCTGTACATTTGACGATTTGTTTATTACTCGAGAGTCGTATTTTACCGAAACCTCGATCGAATTTTAGACGAGGAGGCAAATCAGACCCGTCGGATGTCTGAGCATGGTTTTTATCGACAACTTGTATCATTGGAATCGACGATTGACTGTCGTCGATCATATCTTCGGTAAATGAGCTTTTAAGAACATGTTGAAGTTGTTTTAATTGTTTTCTCCATTTCTTCAAATCGATCTCTGTGTAATCATTGGCTTGTCGCACGTGTTCGATATCCATCGAGATTCGATCGATTGAAGATTTAAAATTGCTTTTCAATTGTTCATGAATTTGGCACAAATCATTGCGAGCTCGTTCAGCTGATCGTTGAACTGTCAAAATCGATTCGCGTTCCCATCGTTCAATACGAGAAAAATACGGCCGAAGGAGATCATCACTGTTAAATTCGTTTTCAAAATCGTGATAATTCGCGATAATATGCTGAAGTTGTTGCGTTAACTCTTGTCGATGTTCCCGAACATGTTCAGCACAAAATCTTTGTTCACATCCGTGACATGATGAGACTTGGAGGGACTTCTTACATTTACCACATTCTTCTTTCATTTTAATTGTCTATAAAGTAAACGGAAAGATCGATGGTTTCTGACGACATATATAAATTACAAAAAAGAAATTGTTGAAACCTTCAAGTAGCTAAGGTAAATAAAAAGGAAAATGATGACGATTATATGAAAACAAATCTTGCCGTCCTTCTCAATGCTACTTATGAAGAGAAAAAAAAAGAAAAGAAAACATGTTCGAAGACAATGCAACAAATCACAACAGAATATAAAGTAATCTTGCGCCAGCGAACAATTAGCTCAAACAGATTTATTTTCCATAGCAATCCAATCATGTTATTTTATGGTATAGACGGAAAAACAAGAGTGGCATGACAAAAAAAGCTACATGTAAACTATTCATGTCGACTTCTAATGAAGTATTCTCACACAATCGTCTTTTCCAAGTAGTAGAACGATGATTTTCCAAGGGAATGGACACAGTTGAAGATCGATCGACATATTCACTGTTCGATTGGTTCGATGATGTTCTAATTGCATGCGTCGATTGATACAGTCAAGCATCAAAGTAACTTCATCACCCATTCGAATCGTTTCAGGTGAGAGACGGCGATTGCTCTTACCACTAATGACATTATAATCTAAATCCCACCAACCATGGAACGAGGTCGAATTCCATATGTCATATGTCATTTTTTCTGACGCATTAATGATCCCGAAGAATGAATGATAGTGCGTGCTAGTTTGTTCAATACGAAAATGAGTGTAGTGTACTCCAGTTGAATAGCGACCGATACCACCAACACAAGATCGATCTGCATGGCCACCGAAACAAGTAGCAACGAGATCGTTCTCCGATAAAGTAACCTTCCCAAAAATATCCTCGAATCGTTCGGCAAAATTTCCATCGGACAGAGGAGAATGTATTTGTGTTGTTTGGTAATGAGTGTCTATTGGTTGTGGTTCAGTTATTTTCAATAAACGTATTGCTGATCGAGAATCTTTTTCATACTCAAGGTGGACAGGAATGGGACAATCGAGTATTTTGCGAAATTCTTGCAATTGACCTGTCCATCGTTTGATGTCTAATTCCGTATAATCATCCAATTCGCGACTGGATTGGAGTTCTTCGGTGACTTTGCTGATCGATGTTTGTAGATTGTTTTTCGGTCGGTTAAGCAATTGTTGAAGAGTTGTACGCGCTGCTTGAGCGGCAATTTGAATTTTCATTATCGATTCTTGCTCCCACTGATTGATGCGTGTTATGAGCGCGTGTTTACTATGATCATGAGTCAAATCACGTTGTAAAACATCATGTTCTTGTCCGATGTATTCCATTTGTTGAGCGAGTTCTTGTCGATGTTCAATGAAATGTTTCGTGCAGAAGGCTTGTTCACATCCGTAGCACATCGCAGTTCCTGCACCTTTGTTGCACTTTCCACATACTCGTTTCGTCGATGCCATACTCAAAACTAGTGCATAGTGCTGTCATTGACGTTACTCTTACTTTTATACAGAAAATGAATAAAGTATTTTGAAAAGAAAAATACGGTAAAATGTATAAGTATTTTGTTTTCAGACAATATTTCGCACTTCAGTGCGAAATCGATGTTTTGATAGGTTTCATTTCGAGATGCAAACGCAATCTTGAAAATTGTTATTTCTGATAGACACATTGTTCTGATCGAACGTTTGTTCGACGCAATGGTATTGTCAGAAATGTTCTGTACGGGCGTGAACACGCACATCCAAGTACTATTTAGACTTCGCATGTGCAGTGAACGTCGTGCTAGATGAAGCATGTTAATTCACTTGAAAATCTATTATTGTTCATTGAAATGAATAAAAGAAAAAGAAAACTTTCGAATTTCTCAATCGTTTTGCGTTCTTGTAAGAATGAGAATGATGTTTCTTTCTTTGTCGATAGATACGTAAGTACTGTGCTAACATGTGTGAGAACTCTCATGTTATTAACGAGGAGATTTGGACAGAGCATCAAACGTAATTATGAATTATTATATGATATTCAACCGTTGGCATCGTGTAGAATTCGGCAGATTTCATATTGAACCAGCAAATGATTCACTTGTTGAAATCTTTCGACTATATCTCATCAGCATCAAGCAATCTGAGCAACCAAAATGAATGATGAATGAATACATTTTGTCGATCTGAGTAACTAGAGGCCAATTGTAACATGGACAATCTTTCGTATACTTTCTATCGACTTGTAAAAGCATGAGAACAGAGGAAGACATTAGATCATCCTCATTATTATTATTATTATCAATTCGATTAATCGTTTGTTTCTTATTTCTATACTTTCCTGGTATTGATTACACATGTTTCTCTTTAGAAATGAATGAATGAATGCTCTTTTCCATATGGATGGTATTGTTGTTCTTTGACATGCACTTCTCCGGGTTTGCTTTTTGTTTAGTCTTATTGATTATGATAGACAGAGAAATACAACGAGATGAGAGTTCCCATGTTGAATGAAGATTACGTATACTGGTGATGTCATCATGAGAAAAGACGAAATACTAGAATTTGAGTGAATCTAATGAAGAAAATTGATACTCAGTGCTATCGTTTGTATATGTTCAGTGATAAAAGAAAGGAAAATAGCGGAAGTTAAATGTGTGAACATGAAATTTGTTGATGTATCATTATGACGGTCAACCGCTTCAGTGTTTGTTCTTTTCTCTTTCTCTCATTCGGAGAAGAGAAGAAAGAGATGTTCTTTCTAGTAATTCCAACCATTATACCAAAGAAAAAAGATCGTCGTTTGTTGTACATAATTGGAGGTCATAGAGAAGCATAGCTGATGCCAACCATGTCCTAGATACTAAATCGAATGGTATATTCTAACCTTGTTAACAATCAATCTCCTCCGAGTTGTTCTTCATTTTGCAACATCAGTCAACGTTATCAAAAACTGTATACTAACAAATATGATAAGTACGTGATGTTGAACAATTCTTTTGAAAATTATCGTTACATTGACATTCTTCGCCAGTCACTTCTGTGTTTTCCTCGGGAAGAAATAAAAAAACCTTGACAGATCAGAATGTCATTACATTCCGAAAAGCGAGAGCGAGAACGGGAGAGAGAGAGAGAGAGATTGAAGATAAAACATCAAGTTTTTCTTTCTCATTAGTAGTTGTTTTCGGCATTCATTATCGACCTTCTGTTTGTGTATGTATAAGTCTGCTGATTATGAAGATAAAAACGATGTCGGATGCACTGTGAATAAAGTTGTTGCTGTCAATTCTCGTTTGCCTTCAATGAACTTTTGTTTGATTCCCAAGTGAGTAGTCAGATTAACAGCGAATGAAAGGTCAAATGCCGACAAACGATGATCACACATCTCGAGAGATTTTCTTGGATATCATCGTCATCATTTTCACATCATTTACTTTCATACAGTTCGCCCATTTCTAATCAACGTTCTTAGAAGTGACGGCAGAACCTGCAAAAGAAGAAGTTCTTTTCATCTTCGTTACTCGTACTATTGAAAGTTTACGTAATCTTCAATTTACTCATCAATGACATAAAAGAGAAAGGCTAACTAGATAATTGCATGCAGTTATTCCTCCGTATAACAATTAAATCAAAAAGAGAAGAAAAAAAAAACGTATATGTAATAGTCCAACATCCATTTATATCTAAATAATTCTAGTTCAAGGTTGAAAAGAACTGCTCGCCGAACTTTCTCTCTTTTTCAGAATGAGCCCGATTCACGAAGCAGCCGTGGTAGGTAATATTGAAATTCTCAAGCTTCTCATCGACAATGGTGTCGATGTGAATTTGAAAGATGCGAAAAACTTCCGTCCGATACATTACGCAGCTTGGCAAGGACGAACAGAAGCTGTTTTCATTCTCTTACGCTACGGTGCGAATGTCAACGAACAGTCATTGAACGGCGACACGCCATTACATTTAGCTAGTCAATATGGTCATCTCGAAATAGCACAATTGCTCCTGTTTCATCAGGCGGATCCGACATTACTGAACCGTCGATTATTAACACCGCTTGAATTAGCGTGTGAACAAGGTCATATTCATGTTGTTAACACTCTTTTACATAATCCATCGTGTCAACAAATGATTTTGAATCAGATTTATAACGAACAACATACACCGTTGCATTTAGCAGCAAAAAATGGACACACAGATATCGTTCGATTATTACTATTGAATGGAATCGATATAAACCGTTTAACGACGACGGATGGCACAGCATTGCATGTAGCATCTCGGAACGGTCGATATGAAACAGCTAAATTGTTATTAGAGTGTGGCATTGATATACATCTGCGAAATTCATATCAACAAACAGCCTATGAAGTTGTTATTAAACAAAAAACCGGAAATGATATTAAACGATTGATAAAAGGTTCGATGAAAAGCAAATCGAACGTCACTATTGCAACTTTCTTTGATTTATTATAGAATTTGCTGATGCGATTTCAGTTCGAGCGATTCAACCATACACGGATAATCATGTGGGCGCATTGAAATTTATGGAAGGCGATTGTATTACTGTAGGGAAATGTTATTGATGAGAGAAGAAAGTGAAATAATCAAACAATCGCTTTTTGTCTAGGTTCTTGATCATAATTCGACCGGTCAATGGCGCGGTTTTATTCTCCAAGATGATCTGACAACGCGAACGGGATACTTTCCGAACACTTATGTACAGATTCTTTCGACAAGTAAGAGTTGTTTAAGTTTGTTTTCATGAGACGATCTGATTCGGTTGATTTAATCGATGTATGCTGTTTGTCAAGGTCTTTTTCCTACTTTCGATTCTCATCTTTTATCTATCGATCTCGATAATCAATTATGTACAACTATTACGGGTCTATAACAATCGATAGGCATGTTATCTTAAGACATCATCGTTCTGATCGTGTGTTTTTCTAGCAAATCTCTGTATTTGATTTTTGTTTTGTTTTAGTAATCAATGGCAAAGAAAACCAGACGTTGAATAACAATCCTTCTCCTCTTCATGCTGAATTACTCGCGCATATGTCTCAAACAGATTCGAATTTAACGAACGCAACAAATTGGAATTCAAGATCAAGGCGAACTAGTCCAACAAACAATACATATCGGCACAGTGCAGCAAGCAGTATTGATAGTGGACGATGCTCAACGGCACTTTACGATAGTCCAAAAGTAGGTTTCGTTCATGAAGTTTTGATCGCAATACGGTTCGCGTGTTTTAGACATTTGCTCTGTCGAGTTTTGTTGGCAATGGTGATGCTCGTTCTATGAGCAGCAGTGAATCGAAATCATCCGATCCCGATAAAACCAGTTATCGAAGTTCAAATAGTAGTTTAGACGAATCAGGTGCTTTGGATATCAATACGCTTCTTCGAAATGGCATCCCTAATAATGAAATTATCTACGCATGGCTACGAGAATTTTCCTATGAAAACTATGCTGAAAATTTCATTAAAAACGGGTATGATATCCAAACAATCGTTCGTATGACACCTCAGGTAAATTTCGTTCGAATCAATGCAACAAAATTGAATAAAAAACTCGAATCTTTAGGATTTAACAGCCATTGGAATAACTAATCCATCGCATCGGCGAAAATTCAAAACTGAAATCGCTCGTTTGCAATTCGCTGATGGACTACCTGATTGTAAACCAGACACTCTGTACGACTGGTTATGTCAACTTCGTTTGGAACAATACATGTTATTGTTAGCGAAACAGAACTACAAACAGTTGACTGATATTCAGAAGATTGCTTGGGAAGATCTGGAAGAAATTGGGATAACTCGTCTAGGTCATCAGAAACGTTTCATGCTTGGTGTTAAACGTTTACTTGACATTGACAAAGGTCTCTATCAATCGAATGCAAATAAAACAAAACAGATGAAAGCGTCAAGTGCAGATAATGATGCGGATGATTATGACCGAAAGTAAAAGACTTTCGTCCAACAATTTGTTCTATACAATTGATTTTTTCATCAGATCGTTCATTCGACCAATAGCAAATGGCGAGTCAGGAACTTCTACAACTTTGAGAAAATATCAAGTATCTCCGAATTCTTTAACAAATAAACAACGGGCGGGAACATACCTTCCTCCATCTTCGTTTCGTCTCCCACCGCCTTTATCATCTTCAATTATGAATTCATCTGTCCATAACTATGAATCGATACCGTCGAGTCGAGCGCGTAGTTTAGAAAACATTATTTCAACCGATCGGACATTGGATATCTATGATCCTCATCATCAAGTATGTTCAAACTTTATTGCCGTCATCATTTCGAACAAATCTCTTCTTTAGTATCAACCTGTCGTTCCTCAATATGTTCCAACAATGACTAATTTGCAGTTTCTCGATAATATGAGTTTATCATCCAGCAGTGAATCAACAAATGGTATTCCATTCGCTAATGAGAACATCGGAACAATTAAACAACGTTCACTATTGAATTCACAAGATACATATGACACAATGAAGCGTTCATTGCCAATGGAATTTTTCCAGCAATCTCCGAAAACAGTACCTATCTATGATAATAATGAAGAAATGATCCGTCACGATACACCTTCGCCTATCAAGAACTCCTCCTTACCAACCAACGGACATGAGTTATCAGTGTCAACTATCGACAAACGATCACATTACATTGAAGCATTCAATAAAGACAAGCAAAACAGAACAATTAGGTGAGTGAAATCGTCGTGAAAAATGAAAATATCTGTTTGGTCTTTCCCAGAAATGATACTACCAATGTCCTATCTGATATTGATTCGATGCTTTCTGATCTTAATCGCGAACTGGATCAAATGCTCGACTACGATCCGATGAGCTCGATACGCTCACGAAATCCAATGGCAGATGTCATTTTGAACAATTAAGAAACCTCTTTTGTATTGTAAATCTTTGCAAACAGTTTTATATTTATTAACTGATATCGATATGTTTTCTCTTGTGTTTTTTTCCTTTTAAATCTGTGTGCTCAATAAATATGAAAAGTTATTTTTCGTGTGTTGAAATAAAACATTGGAATGGGGCTAGGTCGCTACAACACGAGCGGATTCCGAAAAGTAGTGGAACCTACTCAAGCGGGTAACCTGTCGCCCCTTTTCAAAAATTCGAGTAATTAAGTGCTATTCTAGTTATTCCACTAGACAGCGTTATTTTCCTTACTCATTAGTTTAAGGCACGAAAATCTCCACAGGTTCTCCAAAAGTATTTATAAATTCATATTCGCAAAACAATATCCGGTGAATAGAAGAAGCCTTTGAAATACAGGAAAGGAACGACCTCTGTTTGACTTTTTTTGGTAATAAAATTGTTCTCCGATAAGAATTGTACATAATCATGAGAAGACATCTCGCTTTTCTCTTCGGTGCGACATTTATTGTTGTCAAAAGCAAGGTAGATTATTTACTCACTGTGATATCGAATAACGATGATTACTGAAATGAAACACAACATAAACGAAATTCTCCTTCCAGACGTGACTTTGCGGACAAACTATTTCTTTTTACGATTGAAACTATTGATTCAGTTATATCGAATGATCATAAACATTTGTTCTAATTTAAGATTTCCTTCTTCAATTTGTCACACCTCGCGGATAACTAATGACATCTATCTGCACGTTGATCTCATCTATCTTCTGACTGGCTTCACATCGCTATTATAAAATATACATTCAGATCTATCGATGCTGGTAGTGATGATGATGACATTCGGTGGTGATTTACAATCGCGCTCTCAGATGTGAATATTTCCTTGTTTACAAAGGCAAGTAAACATCGAGAAAGCTTTCCCTTTCCTGATTATCTAAGATGACTCAGAAATAGGATGAAATTGAGAACATCGATGATATATATTGTAGACATAGTATGCGATGAATAACTGAAAAGTGGGAAAAGAAAAGCAATGACAACGACAGCGGCAACAACGACGCATTATTTTTCGTCTTATCATTTTGAGCAAATGGTCAATATTAAATTTGATCCGACATTTTTACCTATTGCAGCAACGAGCTTTACTCTCTTTATTTTCCTCTATAAATTTCTCAATCCAATTTTATCTAATTTATTAATACGTGATTATCAATATTTTACCGAAACACAAAAAGTTGACTGGAGTACCAGGTAATGCTCTGTTTTTCTCTCTCTCTCTCTCGACAGAGAGAAGTCTAATCAATGAAAATTCACCATTTAGAATCAGCTCATCAATCAATTCGTTCACAGTTGGAACAATTTGTATATATATGATGATAGCTGATCATGGATTAGAAGCCAATCCGCTTTTGTAAGAAAACTTGTGTAAGATTGAGTATTTTTCATATCTGTTTGCGTTTTACATAGGTATAAAAGTTATTTATTAAAAACGAATCTATCAATTGTTATTGGATATTTATTAAGTGGTAAGATTTCGAAGAATTTTCAGTTTCCATTTGTTTGTGTTTTAGATACAGTCATCAGTATCATTCACTATCGAAAGATCGGTGATCCATTTAGTATGGCTCATCATTTTCTCTCAATCTACGCTTTTATTTATGTGTTAACACTTAATGTTATGCCATATTTCGCGAATTTTCGTCTACTAGCTGAATTATCGACCCCATTAGTTAATATGAGGTAGAATCAAATCATTTCTATAAATGTTCTATTTGCTTGCTCTTCTTTCTAGATGGTTTCTCGACACATTGAAATTTTCGAAAACATCGAAAGCATTCGTCTTCAATGGACTTTGCATGACATTAGTCTTCTTTTTCGTTCGAATCTTAGCCATGCCGATTTACTGGTGGAAGGTGTATACAGTCGCTATTACACCAATGTGGTCTCACATGGGCCACTTTCGCTTTATCCTTATAATTGTATGTAGCGTACTTGATATAATCAATTTGTATTGGTTTTCCAAAATGGTTCGAGGTTGTCTCCGAATAATCACAGCTGTATACGGAAAGAAGCATAGTTAGGACCATCAGAGAGATCTCTTTTTCTTTTTTCTTCTAGTCTATCTTTGTTTTCTCTTTTACTCATCTGTCTTCCACTTTGAAAATCCGGTGCGAGTCTCTATTTGTTAATCGACATGTGTTCGTTGGAAAGAAGCCAAGATAAATTATTATTATTATTATTGTTATTATATTTTATCTTATTAAATCAAGAAAATTCATTTGCATTTGACGCAGAACATCGATGTATAAGTCTGTTGTGAATAGTAGCGTATTTTTGTTTGTTATGTGTCTTCTTCAAAAACTAATGATAAAGGATTTCTTGTTTAAATGCACATTTTCGATATGCAAAAGTGGTGGGTGTGTCTCGCGGGAGAATACAAATTGAGAAATGCCGATAATTTGGACGTTTCATTAATGGTATCGTATCTCGCATCATTGTCATATCGATATTGTTCAAATGTTCGTAAATGCGATCAGTTTGTTCACATGGAGTATCAGATGTTTTTCGTTCAGCTTGTTTCGGAGATGATTCAAACTCTGAAGATTCTATGCTAATATCCACGTCAGCTGCTGTATCGTTTACAGACAGTGAACTTTGACTTTGACTGCTGTTTAGTGAAAGAGAATGCCGTGTGTTCGAGAATTGAGGTGGAGGTTTTTTCTTCATTTTTGCTTTTGATAGCAATAGCTGCTGATGGTTACTCTCTGTCGATTGTTTCTTGATACGATCTAGTTTTTGTGTCAAAAGCAAATTCTCATAACAGATCTGTCGATCTCGGTTGGAACGTTGATTATTCTTTATTCGCTCTGCTGCTAAGAGACATTCCTTAAAATAAGGTTCAAATTCTTTGTCATGATTGTTCTCGGTGGGTTTTGATTGTTTGCAGTCGAGTTGATTCAGATAGGATATCAAAGGAAGAGAGATTTCTTGTTGTGCTCGAAGTAGATTTTTCTGGTTGGATTCGTCGACTGATGTTGACAAAATCTGTGTCTGATCGAGAGATTTAAGTTGATCAACAAGTTGGTCAGCAACATGGAATCGTGTGGAATACTTTTCCCTAAGGCGACGACTGAAATTGTCATATGGCATTTTGCCAAACGCGCCAAATGATTTCGAAAAGAAAACAAATTTATTCTGAATGTGAGCAATACAATAGGAAATAAGAGTTGCATTCATCTATACATTATCGTACATAGTAAAGAAAACAGTATACAATTTTCTGTTAGTCAGTTAAATTCACATGAAAGAGTATTTACAAGAGATTGGCGATTTATTCCGAAGTAAAACGTGTTGTTCGACGATGCATGGTCGATCTTCGTGTTATTATCACTTCTTCGTTGCTGGCCGATGATGCCAATCGTGTCGAATAACGTGTAGCATAGCGTGTTTTAGGCAGTTCAGCAGGTGCCTGAGCCGGTAGATTATCTAAAACAGATCGACATCGATCATCTCTCCAATCGTCAATTGAAATTTACCATTTTGATTTTCTCGTAAGAGACGAGTCGTAGTTCTTCGAGTTGTTCTTCGTTTGGTATTGTTTTCAACAGGTGGTACTGAAGCGGGCATCGGTTCGAGTACTGGACTTGCACATGTTTTTGCTTCAGTTATTGGAATTTCAACATCCGCCAGTTTTCCTTGTGGTTCTTGTACCGTATCGTCTTTTTCGTTTTCTACTTCATTTCTAAAAATGAACAATTCTGTTAGAAGAAATCTGTGATAGGAAAGAACATCTTACGAATCGGCAGACGGTATGGTTGGCAATTTCGAAATATTGCAGTTCTCGTCAATAGTCGGACGAATGAAATCAGATTCTTCTGCGTCGAATGTAGTTTTATTCAACAACAATGTTCGATTGGAAACATTCGGATCGACAGGCAATGGCTCGCGGAAGCTGACTTTTTCCTGTTTGATTATTGGTGGATGTATTAAGCCGTGATCTTCTTCACGTACCGGTGGCAACGATGGAGGATGTGCTGGTCTACGGATCGATCGATCTGCAGTTAACAGCAAAGGACGTGCATTTTCCGTATTGTCAGCAATGAGACTGCTTTCGATAATAGTGTCTTCGTCGTCTTCATCGTCGCTTTCTTCATCCGACGAAAATGGTTTAAGAGAAGTTTTCACAAATGTTTTGTCCGATATTGTAGATGCAATCGATTTGTTGCTATAGGGTTTCTCTTCATCCTCTGAGCCATTCTCTTCGTCGAGAATTGCTGTCGGTAAACATGGTAAAAGGGAAACAGATAGCTCTGAATTGGGAATTTCATGATTCATTTCAGCGGCTTTTTCGATAACAGATACATCGGGTAATGTTACATGAGCTTCAGGAATCATGGCAGATGCTGGTGGTGGTTCTTCGTTGATTGTTTCTTCGTGAACAGCAGTTGATACACTCAGCTGAGGTGGAAGAATCATGGATGTATCCTGAGATAATTTAGACGCGAGCAAACGAGCTTCTGCGACGAATGAAAATAAAATAATGAAACTTGTTCGAACATTTACTTACTTTTTAATGATTGAGTGATCAATGGTGTGAACGTTCGCGATTTCTAGAAACGAAAAAGAAACGATACCCAATGAGATGCATCGTATCTAATAGAAACTTACTCGTAAAGTAGTTCTATTCTTCGTCTTGTCCATGTCTGTTGTCTCGTCCTCGTTCTCTTCTTGATCTTCCTCTTCATCCTCTTCAGCAATTCGACTAAAATTGGGGCTCTGTTTGACAGCTCGTGGTAATCCATTACCACCACCATATGAACGTAAGTCGCCTGGTACGACCAATTTCCTACAAATCAAAAGTCCATCGTTATCCTGCTCAAACAATCGATCAACTCTCCGACTTACTGTTGTAGCATAGCATGAATCTCTTTCCAATGGTCAGCTTCTTCTTGTATACCATCAGATATGATGCGACATTGTTCAGTAACAAATGTACGTAGATTTTCCATACGCTAATGAAAAAAATTGGAATGATTTGTTTACCTGAAATATCACGTCACTTACTGCTTGAAAGTAAACTTCTAATGATTGAGTTGCTAAATGTGTCATATTATCCAGTACTTGTAACTTATCATCATATTTTTGTAAATCGGCGCGACATCGATTAATTTCACGGCAGATTTCATTATTTTGACTTTCAAGAATTTTCCACTCAGTATTTAGCATAACTAAGAAGAGAATACAATGAAGAAGTCATATCTACTGCCGGTGTCAGCGAGCTTACTTGTTGACGCTCGGAAAATACTTCGACGAGCCGCCATACGAGCAGATTTCGACTCAGCAAACCGTTTTCCATTCCAAGCAACGGTCAGTGGTAAAATTGACTGATTAAATGCCATCAGAAAGCTTTTTACAAAACAACAAATCGAAGGTATGTATCTGAATGCGGAAAAATTTTTCGAATTTGATTATCCTTTCAATTTTCAAACGACTCACGCCGTCTTTGTTTCGTGCCTTTTACAGAAATCAGCCAATGGCTACACTGAATGTCCAGTGCCTTAGATGTCGCTAGTAAACTCCATCTTGATCAATTTTTCAATGTTCATAACAAGAATAAGTTTTTCTAGAGCCTTGCTCTATTCGTGGCCCTTTTCTTTTCTATCGTGCATTTGCATGTAACAACACTGTTAGTTATATCTTTTTATGTAAAAAACTTACCGAAGCCAATTTCTCACAAAAACTGATTAACTTCGCTTCTTCACTAAGATCCATTGCCATACTAGTTCATGGGTGGCATCTCTTCACTCCGAAGTTTACTTTGAACGTCAGATATCTATTATGACCCTTAGTTTCTCTTTCATCTATACCATAACCGATACCTTAGGTCTTTCACACTCACCCGTTATAATAATATAGATTTCGCAAACTTCTATGCATAGCAATAGGTAGAGACCTATTGACGCTACCTGGCGGGGTATTGCGAAGCATTCATGCTTTTCTAAAGTAAATAACGAATAGCTACCTGATGTCATGCTTTTCACAGGTAAGAACATATTATGTTTTGTCACAAAAGAACAGGAAAAGAAAATTATTGACATGTGCGTAAATTAGATATTTATTTGTCGAGTTTTCCTGTAGAAAGCATTTCTCGTCAGTCTTACTGCGTTTGAGCCATGGCATCAACTAATGAAAGACGACCATGTTCACAATGTAACAAAGGTGCTGGAGTGGCGATTTGTCAGGGCTGTCAACTATCATTCTGTATCAAGCATTTTGGTGAACATCGTCAAGAACTTTCTCACCAGTTAGAAATCATAGGTTTAGAACATGATGAATTTCGAAAAGATCTCAATCAATACGATACAGAAACAACTCTCTTGGATCGAATTAATACTTGGGAACAAGAATCCATTGGAAAAATTCAAACAGCAGCAGAAATAGCTCGAGTTGAACTTCGAGAACTACTCAGAAAACATCAAGAAGAAATGAGCACAACTGTTCGTAGAATGACTGATGAGCTTCAATCATCTCGAGAATCTTTCGATTATACAGAAACTGATATCGAGAAGTGGGCACGACAATTGCAAGATCTTCGAAAACTATTAGAATGTCCACCACCGATTGGGATTTGTGAAGACAATGCATCGCAGCCAACCGTGCGTTTGATTCGAGTACATGGACACCAGACACCTTCTCCAACAAGTTCTATCAAACAGCCTCTTCGACGCTTATATAGCACGATTGATGCTCCTACTGTTGTCAGTGCTGCTGCTGCTGCTGCAAATATGACTGAAAAACTAGATTATTCTCTATGTCAAGAAAGATTCGATGACATCGACGGTAAACTAAAAACATTGGAAGACGATCATGTGGTTATGTGCTATTGCAGAACATTTCTATTTCCCTCCATTGTCTATGGAAGCAATCGATATTCGAAAGGCAAACATCGTATACGTCTACGAGTTGAACAAATTCATGATTCGATCTTTGTTGGAGTTACTAACGCGGTGGAGGATATCAAACGAGCGGATCTTTTCGATAGGTCTCTCTTTGGTTGGTGGGATTTAGTTCGACCAGTTGCAGCCGGTCACGTACAAAAAAGTGATGATGACAAAGTCATTCGACCAGGTGATGACATAACTTTAATAGTAGATTGCGATAGTGAACAGATTCAGTTACGACATCATCGTACCGATCGATTAGTTGAGCTTTTGGTCGATGTTGTTATGTGTCCATTTCCTTGGAGGATGGCCATTAAAATACGTTCAGAAGGAGATTTAGTTCGAATTCTTCCCTGATGGAAACATCATTATTAATATATGTATATATCTCACAGACAAACTTTATTCATACAAAATAAATAACATTCATTATATAATTATCGTCAAGAAAAATGTACATTACTATGTTTTTTTAAAATATTCCTGCATGCATAAAATTACTTTGGATAATCATATCTGAGATAGCTGCAAAGACGAACTGCATTGTTTCGGTATCCGTTGCACATGTTATATGAACGTAGAGATCTCGTTGATGGCCATGATTCTTCTCACGAAGATCCATTTTCTCAAACTGTTCTTGAATGTAATGAAGTGAACATTCGTATGTGTTGGGACCTAGAAGAGCACGCAAGATGACAATAGAGAATGTGTTCCGTGTGCGACAAACCATTGTAGTCAGAAAAATATGTGCCGATAGGAGAAAAGCGTAATTTCTCGGCGAATAAATCTTTTTTATTCAAAAAAAGAATCATTCCGGCATGTTGAAAGAATCGATTATTGCAAATCGACTTGAACAATTGTATACTTTCGTGCATACGATTCTGAAATGCATAAGGATAGAATCGATGAGAAACAGCAAGTCAACTTACAACACTGTTGTCTTCTGCTAAGACAAGATCGTATTCATTAAGAGCGCTAACGAATATTACCGCTGTTACATCTTCGAAACAACGAATCCATTTTTTCCGTTCACTTCGTTGACCACCAACATCGACAATTCTATTTTTTAATTGAAAGATCAGAAAAATGGCTCGTTGTGAACTTACCGAAATCGATGATTCTTCAATGTGAATGCCGTTTCGACAACGCCAGTTGTTTTTACACGAGTACGTAAAACATCTTGTTGTGTAGGAATGTAATCAGCTTGAGTCAATCGATCAAGCGAATTCAAATAGCTAAACGAGAAAAGAAATACTACGGAAAGAACTGTTTCCGTTACGAACGTACTATGCTGCTGAATCATTAAGATAATATTCACGAGCACGTAGAAAACATTTTTGGACACCATCATCAGCCCATAAAACTTGCATGGCTTTACTGATATTTTCTGGCAGCACATCGTGATTCGTCGTCTCCAACTCTGTATAGTTAAGAATAAGTGCAGCGTCTTTCTAAAGATAAATATGGCAGTATTAATTTTAATCGATAGGTGAGTCGAACTGTGACGTGATTAGTATGCTTTCTGTTTGACAGTACGTCATTTAACTTGTTTCAGTTATCTTTAGGTCACGGATGAGACCGGTGGTTTGGTTATCTCTGATTTCCGCTCGATTGAGTTCCGTAGATATAAATCACACCTCGATCCTATCGCTCCTCTCTTGACGTATACACGGATCGGCCGAAGTTAATCATTTCCTTTTGCGTTGTACAGAAACTGAGAATATCTTGATGGCTGTCATAGAATACGTACTTCTCGTGTAGAATCAGCAAATGAAATGTTCAATCGAGCCATTGCTTGCAAAATGGCGAGCATGGATTGAATTGTGTTAGAGAAGATCACTGGTTTGAAATCAAGACATTCTTCTGTCGAATAACCATTTTCGGTGAAAATGATTCTGAAATCAAAATTTTCATTTCGAAGAAATCTTTTTTATGTTCTTCCACACTTACTTCATCTGTTTCACCACTGTACTCTTTCCAGATTCTCCAGCACCTATAAAAAACAACCTTTTTTACTCTCTTTTCTCTCTCTCTATTTTGAAAAATAAGAAATACGTTCTCTCTTACCGAGTAAAAGTAACTTTGATTCTGCATTCAATGCTTTCCTATCGCGCTCCAATGCTTCATTTATCAATTTATTTGTATGTTTCGAAGGATCTCTAGGTACACAACATCCGAGCATTGTTCTCGTTTTGTTGTAGAACCATTCTATGTACGGCACAGTATACACGACCCTGTTTCTATTGGCTGTTACCTCCAGGCGAATCGTGTTCAACTCGATTTCCCATTGGTTCGCGCAACCTACACAGTAAACAACAACAATGTTCCTATTCTTCGAAAACAAAATGAGTAAACCTTTCTTCCTTCGTAATAGTTAGCAATTAATTTGCCTAACTGAATCATATATTTTTACACAGCGGTGAAGGTGTATTTCTCACCTCCTACCTTCAATCTAATGTCGTTTGTTCTGTATGCAAGCAACTTTAATAAATATATCTTTTTTGCTTCATTGTAGATCTATTATTCATTACTTTTTTTTGTGTACGTCACAGCAAAACGAACTTTTCTCCTTTTTATTTTGTCTATTATGTTATCAAGTGATTAAATATACACAGTAAAGTAAGTTTTTTCTTTGTTTGTTAGTTGTGACCAGAATATTACGCATCTACATATGCTCGTGAGAAAGAAAGGAAAGAAAACAACGAAATCAGCTGTTCTCTTTGTAGACCTTTCGTTCTGTTATCTGTGTACAGTGACAAAATTCTTTTTTCATTTTCTCGCCTACGACTAAATATGGGCAATCTTTCTTCTAAACGAAAACGTTCGGTCGATATCTCTTCGCGATCGAAAAAATCTCGTGACATAGAAATTGACGACGTGGTGAGGAAGAAGAAAAGATGGAAACTAATAAGGCTCTATTGTATAATTTTGTTTTATCTTTCTCTGTATTAGTTATCTTCATCAACAATGTTCTCGAAAAACCGTAAACAGCATTCGTCATTAAAACAACCTTCAACTACGGATTCATCGTCTACGTCCACAAAAGATCGAACACCGGTGACAACAACAACATCATTGCCAATTAGTTCCAATTTACTTTCTTTACCAAACAATGCACCTAATTCAACCACAAATTCAAGTAAAATAGATACATCGAATAGCCGAGGTTATTGTTTGATTTTCGTTTGTAGAAGTTTTAACTTCGAATACAGCCAATAGTAACAATGGAAGTGTACGTCGTCGTCGCCTTTTGAGTTTTCTTCGTTTTCCTACTAGTCGTCCATCGTCCTCATCGGTGCGATTTTCTTGTCAAGCAACATCTAAACAACAATATCCTTCGTCACATCATGACAATGAATCAATCAGATCGTCGTCCGCGATTGTAAAAGACGAAGTTATCGAATCAGTTGTTCCATCGAGCAATGAGCCACATGTTATTAATATCATACCTATTACCACGAATCAATTACACGATAATAGTCATACTCTTGAAAATTGTACGTTGTGCTGCCATGATTATCCACATGATCAATTCGAACGTCTAACTGTTTGCTCACATGCATATTGTCGCACATGTTTGAAAAGTTATCTAAAACTAGAAATTACCGAAGGTCGTGTCACATTGAACTGCCCGCACAGTGATTGCCCGGAACGTATTCATCCAAGTGATATATCGCGTATTTTGCAAAGCCAACCAGATCTCATAGGAAAATATGAACAATTTATGGTACGACGCGTTCTACAATCGATAACGGATACACGATGGTGTCCAGCGCCTGATTGCGGTTTCGCAGTCATTGCATCCGGTTATGCAGCTTGTCCTGAAATTCAATGTTTGCGGCCCGGATGCAATACATCGTTTTGTTATCATTGCAAAGCGACATGGCATCCGAATAAAACCTGTGAAGACGCTGCGCGAGAAAAAACATCGAAAATCCGTTCGGGCTCATTTATTAGTCTTGCATCTGCTCAACAGCGAGACGAAATTAAACAATGTCCACGATGTCAAGCATCTATATTGAAAATGGATGATGGATCATGTGTAAGTGGATTATTGATTAAGGATTTCTATCTTCATAGGTGAATTTCTTTTCAGAACCATATGACTTGTCCAATCTGTGAAGCAGAATTCTGTTGGTTATGTGGTAGAGAAATATCTGATTTGCATTATTTGAGGTAAAACATGTTCAATTTTCAATATGAAAACAAAATAGCATGTTTGCTTTTTCAGCCCATCGGGTTGTACATTTTGGGGTAAGAAACAATGGAGTAGAAAGAAAGTCATTCTCTGGCAGGTAGCAACCTTGATCGGCGCACCCGTGATCATCGCATTGATCGCTGGTGTAGCAGTGCCAGGTGTTATCATTGGTGTACCTGTTTGGGCTGGACGAAAAATTTTCAAGAAGTTCAATAAACCAAAATATAGTAAAGCGAAGAGAAACACTTTGGTGACCTTAGGTGTAATGGGAAGCGTTGTTGCGTCGCCAATCGTTGCAGCACTCGCTGTGGGTATTGGTGTGCCCATACTATTAGCTTATGTTTATGGAGTAAGTGATTGAGGAATCGTTGATGAATAACAATCAACGTTGACATTCTCGCTTTAGGTTATTCCTATTTCTCTTTGTCGAACGGGCGGTTGCGGTATTGGAACAAGAAATGAAACATCAGAAGGCGATGGACCGAATATAGACAGTTTTTTGCCATTTTCCCTACGTGAAGTACCAATTGCACGAGCCATTTTAAATGGTAAGGTGAACTGATCGGTCCTATCTGGTAATGCGGGGTTTTCTTCTATAGATAATCAAAGTGTGATGACACATCCAACAATCGGAGGTGATTCAACTAGTTTATCCAACAGTGTTACACATCTCGTGGACGATAGAAGTAATGAAAGCACAAAAGCATTGCCTGGTACAGGCGCTGTTTCACTTTGTGAAAGTTTACCACCAAATCGGTAGGTTGAAAACACAATAGGAGAGAGTTTCTCTATAAGCTCGTTCATTCTAGTCTGGAAGTTCAAGCAGAAGTTAGTGATTGCAAAAGCTTCGACATTGAAAGTATCACAATCAGTGAAAAATCGTCGAAAACAATGGACAGTCTGAAAGCCTTAGCTGGTTCGATCAAGTAAGATGTCCTTCTTCTGACAGCCAACTTTTTCTAATACTATTCTCAAATGAATTCTGTAGAGATGCATGTGCTGTACCTGGTGTTGACTACAACGGTGATAATGTTTGTGGTGGTACTGGTGATTTCAATGGACGAAAATCAAGTCTATTGAGTAGCGTATCAGATTATGCTCGTTCCATGAGCATCGAACAAAATCATTCGATCGCGAATCGCGCAGGTTCACCCAATAGTGATAAGACAGTGTCTTTTTATGATGAACGTTCAAAAATAAAATCAAAGTAAGTGAACCGTTCAAGTAAAAGAAACGAACAGTGCTCAACCTTTCGTTTTCATCTTTTTCAGATCTCAAGCAGATCGTTATTGAGCATGTGTATGATTTTTATTTTTATTTTCAACATGCACAAACTTCAAAAAAAGCAACAGCACTTCGTTCAGTTTCTCTCTCTTTCTCCTTTTTTTCTTGTGCGGCTCTCTCACTCTCTCGTGTATGTAAATAATTTGTTTCCAGTGAATTCTTTCCTTTTTTGTCTTCGTTTCGGCTTTTCGTTTGTATGGAAAAAAAAGAAATCAGCTTGAGACTCCTGTCGTTTTCTCTCTTTCTCTTTTCATTATATTCGATTATAATTAATTTATTGAAAGAGTGTTCGCTACTAACTGACCAAGGAACACTCTTTCCCTTTCCTTTTGCTGCTGTTTGTTTATGTATTTATGTAATACAACAGAGAAAAAAAAACAATGAAAGAAATTATTTCAGAAAATAATCGAATGGCTTCGTTTTTTTATTGCATTTTTCGCATATGAAATGTGAATACCCGTGAGTTCTGTTGTACTCGAACGTTTCCTCTGTAATGATGGTAGTCCTAGAAATTCAATTGAAATAGCTACTGTTTTCGAGGCATTCTCTGGAGACTCGACTTTGTACTTGTTACAAACTAATTACTAAGGTTATCATAACAGTGAAAATATATGTGTCGAAATACAATTAACTTAGATTTGAGTCCTAGTAGACGATGTAAAAGCGACATCTAGGAAGATATTCGACTATACAAAATCAGAATTTATGTGTGCAACGTCTTCTCTCATAAGTTATTAATCTTCGTTTGTTACCGAAGATCACTTCCGTTAGAATGCAAAGTACAGCACAATGTCTCAGAATGTACTCATCAATAGAGATCTCGATACCTGAAAGTGATTGGTAGCAATCTTACCCTTTCTTGTTCTATTTAATGATTATTCTTCATGACCAATCCAATACGAATCATTTTACTTCTAATCCTATGAGTTGATTATTTCTTTCTAATACCTATCCTAATCGATATAATTCAACCACACGATCGTAGATCGAGAAACATGTGTTGCTAGTAGAGTAAGGTACATAGGAGAAAGTCAAATGTTGTATGTTATTATTTTTTTTCTTTCTCTAGTGATGCCAAAAGAACATGGCACCACACGAATCTGTCGAAATCCGGCTCGTATGCAAAGCGGACTACTTCGATCCGCAACTGAAAACAAAATTGCACGAAATTAGAGATAATCTGAGAGAAATACTTCATACAGGTATGGATAATCTAAATTGGAGAGAGTAAGAGCACAATGTTACGAACATCTATGAATATAGGTCGTCGACGGTTCGCTTTGAAAAAAGTACAACCATGGAACAGCGTCAAAGTGTCATTTGACATTCCAAAGGAAGCAGCAGATCAACTTCGTTCACTTGCTGTGCAAGGTAATGCACGTCTTATCGAATTAGGTATATTAACCGTCGAAATTGTTGGACAATCGAACGCAATTGTCGTTAATAAATCACAGAATTCATTAGCAACAACAACGAATAGTAAGTGCAGAGTTGTAAAGAGATCAAGTTTATTTTCTAATGTATTTATCTTAGGTAGAGAAGCAACCGCATCGCCTTCAGCTCACTCCAATCCTGTACAAAAACCTTCATCGGATTTTAAACTTGATGACCATTCTGCTAAACGAGTAAAAATCGAAGAAGATATCCATCCAGTAACTAATAATCTCATCCCAACAGCATCAGCAAATCCGACTAATCTCAATCCCACCACTCATTATCAGCCTCAACAAGTCAATCATCGATACGAACAAGTACTACATTCAACTTATCCAAAGAACAGTGGTATGAGCTCGAAACACCGAAACGTTTCTCTTATTGATTCCATTTCAGGTGTAACAATGCCGAATTCTTCACACGTTCATGATCAGTCACAAAATTCTTGGTCAGGCTATAAAGTAAAAGTTAACGGCGTACATTATTATTCCTCGCAACAACCTTCGTACGACACGAGGAGATACGAAACGAGTCTTTCAGCTCAATGTTCCAATCCAACATCAACTACGAACACGCTTCAATAAGAAGATATCTCCATATACAGTAATTGAATGATTATTTGGATGAAGAAAATCGTTTCACTATTTATACATACATATATTCACCAGCAAAGCGTAGAATTCACTGAAACTATCGTCGTTTCGTTACATCACACTGTTGTCAATCATTCATTTCATTAATTCGAATGGTATGTGTATATGTGCCATACATTTCTGATGCGAACAATTCATCCCTGTGTACATAAATCATTGACGATAGGCGGCCTGTTTTTTCTTCTTTGTATTCTGTTTTTTATGTGTTCATATTCATGTTTTTCTTTCGGTCCTTGTCTGTGTGTATTCACTCGTCGACATTCGATGATAATAGAACAATAATAAATGAACTTAGCTGGAATATACTCATGTCTTAAATGAGAAGAGCACCGCTGAATGTTTATTATATGGAATAAAAGTAAAGACAACGAATCGGACAATTCACAAGACAAATGCACAGAACTGGAGAGTAAAAAAAGAATGATAATTGTCACAACGATAATTTACATCACACAGATAGCATGCGAAAGATTTCTATGGACGTTAGAGAAGGATCGTAATATTTGATAACGGATTTTCTTAGCCAATTAGAGAATAAAGATAAGCGTAGGAATATGACGATGATGTTTTAGATTTCTTCAACGTAGTTAGAAGGAAAAAGACCGGATCTCGATCCAATTTTACCAAACCACCACTCTTCATGCATCTGTATGACGAGAAAAAAAACAGGTTATTGCGTATAAAAGAACAAAGAATATCATCGTACTTTTTGCACATTTGTAATAATTTCATTCTCTTCGAAACCTAATTCATCATCTTCGGCTAAAAAATAGATAGTATGGAAAACTGCGGATTCAAGAGTCGTTCGACTTACTTTTCTGATAACTGTAATGTGCTATACATCTAATACCTTGATCTTGGCCATTGTCTGCTGAGTGTTCCGGTTGGTGGACCGGTGTAGGTGACGGGTCTCTTTGCCATGTTGATGGTTGTTGATGTGCTTGTGGTTCTTCAGTCCATTCATCATCATCGTTTTCTCCGTTTTTAGATGAGGAAGACGACGCTTTTCGCTGTCGTAATAACGTAGAGACATTGACATTGCCAACAAATGTCACTGGCTCTTCTTTTGCCGTTGATCGTTGTGGTTCAAAGTTGTTACTGGTGTTTTCATAGACAGTAGGTGTATAAACTTGTGTGGGTGGCGGTGGTGCCACAGGTTGTGGAGCAGGTGGCGACGGGTCTCGTTTCGGCTGTGTGGCCGGAGGCGGAGATACTTCGGAATGATTCACTTTAGCGTGCCCATTACTCGCTAATTTCTGATCATTAGCGGCTCGTTTATTCCTTTCTTCAGCTACGCGTTTCGCAGCCTCCTCTTCCTGTTCCTTTTTCATATTTTCAAATCTGTAGATAGTATAAAACAAATTATCGATTACTAATATTGTTATTACGAAATATACCGTGCTCGAATATTGCCAACGCCTGCACTACTGCCAGTAGGCGGTGCAGGTTTTTCTTCAACTTTTCGTTCTGAAAATGGAAAGAAAATAGATTCGTGTCAAACTAACGACGACTTTACCTGATGGTGGCGAGCTCGGAGCATTCAAACGACTAGGTTCTTCTTTCTGAACACCATATTTACCACCAAAACCCATACTGTAATCTAACAATAATCGATACAGGTTAGATGTAGAGCATGATATTTGAAATTACACGCACCTTTTTGTGAAGAATGTTTCGGTACAGTTTCTCTGTGAGAAAACCCAACTGCTGATTTGTCTTGTGCATTTGAATCAGTGCCAAACTTTCCACCGAAACCCTTGGAAAAGTCTAGACAAGCAATGACATGTCTAAACTAGAGAATGAAGTCTTTCACACCTGTTTGTGACGGATGTTTTTCCACTTCTGCTCTATAATCGAAGCCAAGAGCAGATTTGTCTTTCGCACGTTCATCAACGCCATATGCACCGCCGAAACCTTTTTTCCCGTCTACGATGAAGAGGACAAAAAATCACATAACTAATAACATTTTAGTTCTGCAACGCATAGGTAGTCGCTAATGATCGCTGACAATGTTTTCGCCATTAAAGTTTGAAATAGTATTTTCAAGCGTAAATAATTATTCTGAGCAATGCACACGCAATGATGGGCAACAAACAAAAAGGACGTCGAACGGAAGAATGGGAACTCGATGCTATATCAAACCTAGCGCAGATACCTCGAAAGCAAATCAATGAAATCTATAAACAGTTTCAATATGCATCAAAGGATTATCTTCTGAACAAATATGAATTTCGCCGAATCTACAAAGAGCAGTACAAACGAGCAGGTGTCAGATTCAATCGACACAACAAAATCTTAATCGATAGACTCTTTACTATTTTCGATCGCGACCGAACCGGCCGTTTAACATTCGATGAATACATTTCTCTCTATATTATGCTACAACACACCATCCATCCATACATTCGTCTCAACTTTTTACTAGACCGTTACGCGCAGAGCAATGGCTGCATCACCGCGAATATGGGTCGGCAAGTACTTCGAGATATGTCAATATTATATGGTATCCATACCGATTGCCAGCAAGTGTGGAAGAAAATCGAAATGTACAATGGTTTCAAAACTGAGCCCATACGAAAAGAAGCTTTCATTGACTATTTCACTAATCATCCTGCTTTTTCTGCAGCTTTGTATGTGACTTCATGACTATCTATCTACGTTGTACATGTGAAAAGAATATGTATATTCGAATCTCCGAAATTAGCAGAGCACATGCATTGAACTTAATCAGAGAAGGTATACATACGATTTGAAATCTTCAAATACAAATCGCCGTGAAATTCGATGAGAATTCGTTCGTCATCTTACCTGTCTGTGAGGAATGTTTTTGTACATCCGCTTTGTATGAAAAATCTGCGGCAGACTAGAAGAATAGGTAGAAACTTGCGTAACTAAGAGAAGACGAGTATGTTTCGAATTACTTTGTCCATCACTTGATCAGTTCCGAATTTACCGCCATAACCTCGATTAGGATTTTTGTCTTGATACACTTGTTTGACCGTCTGATCAGCTGTTTTAAGTTTCTCTTGCATTGACTTAAAGTCAACGTGATCGATGCGGCCAGAACCAGGAACGGTTGCCGAACCATATCGTTGCGACTTTTCTGTTGTTTGATTCTACTCGAACAAAGATACGAAAGGACTCTCTCTCGAAATGAAACTGATGAATTTACTTCGTAACTAATATCTGTTTCCCAATCGTCATCGTTAGAAACGAATTTCGGTTTGGGTGCGGTCGGTTTAGCCACTGGCTTTTTCAAAGCTTCACGCCACGACATTTTGATTCAGATGATATAATATAACAAGATTCTATTATTTCAAATGATTCATTTTTGACAGAAAATTACTTGGTGTACGAACGGCCAAAAATTTTATCCAATCTCAATCTTGAAACGTCATTGACGATTGTTTGGTTGGACGAAGTGGAGGCAGGAATGAAGCGACACAGACGTCGAACGCGTCGTATGACATTCCATCAATATCACATCACATAAACAAAAGAGAACGCATTTTGCCTTAGTTTCAAACACACCTTGTCGATTTTTATTTGTTTTACATACTACCAGCTGTGACTTTCTCGTGGTTTGTTTCATTTCAGATTGTGTGATGCGTACTGCCGACTTTCTGGCGGCTTTCCTCAGCCAATTTCTCGCTTGTATTGTACGTAGAATTGATGATGAACGGCGGAGCTTGAAAAGATTCTGTTTAGGTTCTCGCAACGGCGGAATCTTTATCAGAAGGTCAATGCTCTGATCTTGGCTTTGCTTCGAATAATTTAGTATGCTCAAGTTGCAATGATTTAAAACAATTCAAATTGAATGAACTAGAAGGTCAATGTCGACAATGCTGTACCAACGACGAAGATGAAGGAGAAGGAAAAACGGTAAGAGTAAAATAGATATATCAACTGACAGTTGACCTATTTTGGATTTGTTTATAGAAATATCATCGAGCAGTTCTTCAAGTATGTTCCTGAAAATTGGGCCGATACGCCCAGATTTCGGCGTTCATTCGAAGTGATCGTCCTGCGCGATTTCCTTCATTCAGTGTTCAATATGTTCGGGGTGCGGATCCGATCCTAAACTTATTTAACGATCGAGATGAGCAAATCGAATCGATGGGTATTGAAAAATGGGATACTGATACACTAACAGCGTTTCTTGAAGAAAATCTTGCCCATTAGATCAGTCCGTACCGTCTATAAACGAATGTTTTCTCTTTGATATCTCTTTCATGAATTGACATTGCAGATTTTGTGTTGAATATATTTGTTTTATTTGAATTTTTCTTCGATGAATGAAAAACACTAAACCTCTCTTCAGGCGTGATTTTCATGATTGTTAAAATGAAACTATTCAAACGAGCTTCAATGAAAATTCATCGAATTGTTATCTCACGGAAAACATTTTTTTATATTTTTGATTTTTATGTCTTGTTATTTTATGAAACAAAGAAGTATATCTGCTGTTTGACATTCCTAAGAGATCATCTCTTCGATCTAAGTTGCTCAATACTGATACCAAGGTTTCACATCTTGAAATATCTACCAGAACTGATCAATCAATTAGCCTTACCTTGAATTTTATCCTGAACCAGAGATGTTTATTTAGTGTTGTGGAGTCTAAGGACTCACCTCTGTCGATATATGTCAATCAACATATGGAAATCTGGAATATCCGACTAATCTTTACTTTTGCTTTTCTTCTGATTCTAATCGAACGTCTCTCAACGTTCTTTCTAGTCCGAAACTATCTTTGTTGTACGAAGACTTCGATCATTTGCTGTTTATTCTTATATACATTGAAAACGACCAGAATTTTTTGTCAAGAATCAATCACACTAAACGAGCGAACATTAGATTTGTTGTTTCGCACTAGAAATTGTGATTAGGCACGTTGGTTTTCGTCTGAAAGTAATACGCTTTCTGAATAT